TTGAAAGATTAAATCTCTTGTTCTGATCATTAAGACTTAATAATTGAAGAGAAAATCTTTGCCTGAGACTGTTTGAGTCCGTAGATAAGTATGGTTGGGATAATGAAATATGAGTTTTTTAAGCAGCATAATCCAGTTACGAAACCATTAGTCCTAACCTTTCCGTTAAGGGTCATTTACGAACCGTATTGCATATAGACGCTAACACACGCAAATATGCATTCTCATACAATCGAGCAAAAATAACACAACGTGTATGAAAGAAGAAGTTGGTTTGAAGCCAGCCACCTTTGTTGCCTTTGTGTTTTTGGTCAATTATTATCGTGAAGTATGGTATCCTGCTCTGACGATGTGCGTCACATGACGGACGAAAGCTCAGCATGGATTCATCGGGATCGCAGGGAGGTGCGCCGAGGACCTATTGGCACAAATCTACCATTACAGCTCCAAGCAATCCTCTCACAGTTTGCGATGTGACCAACTTACGAATCTCTTCCAGTCGTCTCTTCAAACGAAATGAAATCTACTTAGACATCATCGATATCACATTTTTATTGTGGCATCATCGAGGAGGCAAACGTGAGTTTTGCCATTATATACTATTATACTACTTATATTTAAATAAAGTAGATTGTTGAGCAATGAAAACGCCAGACATACTTACATTATAGTAGGAAAATTCATCCATCTTTTAATGCGGCCTATGACGATTATAACTGTTTACAAAATTTACTCATACTCTTGAAAGCCTTATTCATCTGAATAATAGTACTTGCACGTTTTTGCGTGTGTGTTTGCGTATGTGTATATTGAGATAAGAGAGCAAAGTTATAATCCCGAAATATCGATCCAAAGTTATCAAGGCTAAATCATGCCGAGAAAGGCATGACGGCGATTGTGTAATCCCGAATGTATGTGTGGTTGACTGGATGAGCTTAAGAGACGCACAGAGCCGTCACCATGGTGATTGGATTATTTGACTCGTTGTTTGTCTGAATTTTAGTCGGAATGAGAGCCGAATTTGCGCTGCCTGTCAAGCCGAATGACAGACGAGAGCTCAGCACGGATGGGTCGAGGTGGCAGGACAAAGTGGAGTACTTGTTCGCGTAGACCAACATTCCCTTCACCATTTGATGAGGCCAGTTCACGAACTTATTCAAACTTCGATTTGCATCGAGACGAAAGGTCAAGTCGCGCAAAGTCGAATTAGATTCAGTCAGAAGCTGCCACGCCAATTGCCCAATTCATCACTTGAATGC